TTTTTTTTTTTTTTTTTTTTTTTTCGAATTTTCGTGTACGAAAGGAGGAATTGGGTTAGGGTTTTAGTGTCGGATCCTCACGACCTTGTTGTGTTTTAGTAGTGTTAGTCTGGATTTTTTGCATATGTCCTGTGGGAAATGTTAGTAGGCGTGCACGATTGGGAACTATGATTTAGATACTTAGCTACGTATATAGTTTTATTTATGTTTGAGTAGCCTGTTTATCTCTCTCTGTTGTTGGGTTTATGTCATGTTAATCTGAGATTTTTTGTATTGGTCATGTGTGAAATGTTAATAGGCATTGGGAATCTCTCGTTTTGAGCTTTGGATACATGTATAGTTTTAGTTATGTTTGATGGCTCGTTTGTTTTTTCAGTTTCTGTTCTGATAATTGACGTTTTATGGTGGAGTTATGAGTTACTGTTAGGCCGAGTAAAAGAAACTAACATGTATCATACTGTAGTTGAATTATGTACTCGCTGAATGATATGGTGTTAAAAGACACTTATAAGATAAGAGTTAAGTTTGTCACTGTATACTGGAATTTGGTACTCGGTAGTTCGTGGACTTGGAGAATGTATGATGACTGTTGCACTATTTTCTTTTCAATGCATCAATCAATCGTGGGCCCCTTTACTGTGTATCATTTTCGCTTATGAAGTTTCGCGTATAAGTCGTCCATCATGGGTGGAATTCCAAAATTCAACTCTTATTACCTAGTCTGTATATCATTTCACTTGTTACATGAGATCGAGTGTGTTTCTACTTTTGAAGATGTGTGATTAAGCTCTTTGCATTTTGCAGTACCTAGAAATTTTAGATTGCTCGAGGAACTCGAACGTGGTGAAAAGGGAATCGGAGATGGAACTGTGAGCTATGGAATGGATGATGGAGATGATATTTACATGCGTTCTTGGACTGGAACCATCATAGGCCCCCACAATGTGTGCTTCTAGTCTGCCTTATACTAATTCGTTTTGACGAGGAAATACTGATCATGAGTACCTTACCCTAATTTTGGTGCATGTCTATCATTTTTATTTAAAGATATTATTTCCTTATTAATTTTGTTTCTGTGGCTGATACAGTTGGATTTAACTGACATCCTAAGTTAAATACATGATTGATGCTCACTTTCAAGAACCATTTTGATGCCTTGGATGGTGCTTCCAAGTGATGTCTCTTTTTTAATTTCATGATCTTAATGTTTGTGTAAACCATAGCATTCACAGTTTGATGGAATATAAACATCAGTATAAACATCAGTGTTGTACTGGTAGCTGCTGATTAGTTTCCATTTTTATATTGACTGAATATATTGTTTTGCTTTAGCAACTTATTAAAAGAATTAATGCTTTTCTTTTTCCTGTCAGTCCGTTCATGAAGGGCGCATATATCAGTTGAAGCTGTTCTGTGACAAAGATTACCCAGAGAAGCCTCCCAGTGTCCGATTCCATTCCCGGATAAACATGACGTGCGTAAACCATGAAACTGGAGTGGTACGAATATAATGACCTCAAGCTTAAGTTGAATTGTCACTTTTGTTCGAAGTGGCCGATTGAACATTCTTTAAGATACTAATTTCACTATATATTTTAACATGGTATCTAATAGTTATGTATTTTTATTCAAAATCACCGACGACAACAATTCTGTTTGATGAACATGCTTCTGTTGATTGAATCACGTTGATAAATGTGTTTTTTTTTTTTTTTTCATTTACTTTTAGTAACATCTTGACATTCTCCTCCATATTTCGGTGAGCAAACGAATTGCATTACTTAAAGACAAATGAGATATTTTGCATTTCAGTGGTGAATAGCCTTTTGACAAGGACGTGGGCTACTTTGGTAGACCCCATTAACAGATACCTGCTTGGTTACTGTAATCGTGCCCATGGAAGCTAATATTATTACATTATTCATGTCTCGGTATTTGATTATGTTTAGGAGAGTTCTCTTATTTTCCCATGATAGAAGTAGCCAGCTTTCGTCCTCACCCCACAAACATTGTGTTCTGTTAAGATGCTTATTTATCTTGTTAATCTGAACCATTTGTTTTGAAAGATGTCTGCAGTTTTTCATAATTAGGATAAGCCTCAGGGATTATCTTCGTTTGTTTTTCATAGTTAAACGCATAAGCAAAGAGCTGGATACTCGTATATCATTCAAAAACATGTGCTTCTCTCAAAACAATTGATGTATTGTTTTTTTTTTTTCTTCTTTTTTTTATGGTTAGGTTGAACCTAAAAAATTCGGGCTTCTAGCCAACTGGCAACGGGAGTACACGATGGAGGATATCCTAACACAGCTTAAGAAAGAGATGGCTTCCCCACACAACCGCAAGCTTGTCCAGCCTCCAGAAGGAACCTATTTCTAGCGTAAGAAGTCAAATTTGGGGGCTTTTATTGACATTATGATATAATTACCGATTTCAAAGCTTTCATATCGTGTTAAGATGTTAGTTGCACGGGGAACAGACTTCCCGAAAGAAAAAAAAAAAAAAAAGGTTTTCTCTCATGTCAGCACTTTTGGGGATGACCTTCGTCTTATCTCTTGATATTCTGTCGTCATTCCCACTGTGAAACTGTGTTGGAATGTTTGGTAATGGGATTTTTCTTCTGTATGATCGATCAACCTTTTGGGACATATTCTTGTTGATATTATAGTATTTGTGTTTGAAATATAGCCCACACCCTTACTAAAATTTTAAGAAATTCACCTTCTCCAGAACTATTATATGAATGATATGCAGATCAACTGGTTCGGTTTCGAAAGCTAATTGATTTCATTTATGACAATTGTGGTTAAACAATGAAGTATGCTATCGAAATCTTATTGTAAATGTATTAATAGTGGTCTTTTAGAATTACACACAGTGCAGCACATTATGTTATGTGTACCCTTAAATGTTGCATTTATTTACTACAGTGTTAGATTGCCTACCAACCCAGAACCATATTTTTTTGTTTTTTTTTATAAAAGATGCATAGTAAAAATACTATTAAATATTCTACTTTTAGTTATATTATAGTATAATTTTAGTTATTTGATATTAAAAGTATGTAAATATGTTAAGAAAATATAATTGTGCGAGCATTACACAACCTAATAGAATCAAAACGGTTATTTTGACAATATAAATACACATTTCTGTTCAAAAAATATGACAGAGTCGACCTAACCAACTGGTTAGTAGAAATATATTCTCAAGAAAGTTGTCTATAAATTACATTAGCAAAAAATCTTTCTCTCTCTAAAATAAAAAGATCTCCTGCGGCTTCCAAATCCCCTTTCCTCTTCGTCATCTGTTGTTTCTGGAGAACCCCCCCTCCCCCCGGGGCTCTCCGAGTTGCTCGGCAGCGGCGACACTAGGCTTTGCGGTCCAATCCTAGAGGATTGCCGGCGTAAGGGCTTTTATTCACTTGAGGAGGTGGCGCCAGATCCTTGAATAGTTTGTCGTTTGTCGTCGTGGATGTCTGGTGTTAGGATAGGGTTGCGGGTGGTCGCTCTCCCGGTGATTTCTGCTTATGGCGAGGCCGCGGTGTCTCTTCGGGTGGGGCTGCTGCTTTGTTTTCCCCTTTTTTTTGGGGGAGGGGGGGATTAGGGTGGGAGGGTCCACCTCTGGTCCATCGTGCTCCTCTCCTTTCTGGTGTTGGACGGAGGTGGCGACAGTCGTGGCCACACCGATGTTCGGGTTTTAGTGTTTTAGGCCTGGTGTTTGGTGCCGGATGTGGTTGGTTGAGGTTCGGGTTTTTAGGCCCTAGCTGGGATGTCCGTCCAGATTGGGTTGGGGCCGTTGATGTCAGACTTAGCTAGGCGTTCCTTGCAGTTTCTAGGTCGGATCCGGGATTATCGGTTCGTTTGGATGGAGACCCTTTTGCGCTGTCATGGTGTCACTTGGAGTAGTTTGTCTGCTGCAGGGAGGACTGTTTTATATGTTTTTTTTAATAGTTTTTTTTTTTTTTTTTTAAGTGGAAATTACCTTCTTATCGTTAATTTATTGGGCACTGTACGAAGTATTTGAAATACGGGAAAGAAATACCATTGGTTGTGGTTTAGCTAGTTGGTTAGCTTTTTTGTGTTGTGCTTCGTGTTGTTTGTGTTTTTTTTCTTGTTCGCTCTCGTTGGGTGTATTCTCCTTGTTCTGTTCGGAGCTTTTGAGTTTCTCTCATATTAGAAGTTTTTAGTTGCGTTGTGTGTTAGAGGTCGACTCTAAGCTGCCGTTTGGTTGTACGTGTAGCCCTCTCTACAGAATTCGTTGGTCGTAAATTCTGCTAAACAGTTGTTCTCTTACCTCGATTTTGTTGTGAAAGTACTGTCTATCGTCCAATAAAAAAAAAAAAGAAAATTATCTATAAATTCATATTTGTAATTAATTTAAGAAAGTATAAAAAAAAAAACCCAAATGGGTAATATCGTCATTTTTTTCACTAACACGAAGCCCATTCATCGCCTCTCTCTCTCCTTCCCCACGTAGCCATTTGCACTCACACGTCACTCACCACACACATACGCAGTTACAAAAACCTCCCAAATTACGTATATAAATCATTTCCCCTCAAGCCCTAGAATTTCCCCCAAATCCAACCCGTCGCTTTCGATCTGAATGCCCCCTCCATGGCCGCCGCCGCCATCCCCCCCGATGACCCTCCTCCTCCGCCGCCCGAATCCCCTCCGCAGTACCCGCCATCCTCCAAGTCCAGCCCCCCCAAAATCCAGGTCCTGATCCGATCCGTCTGGTCGGAGAATCTGGATCGCGAGTTTTCTCTGATCCGCGGCCTCGTCGACCGGTTTCCCTTTGTTTCCATGGATACCGAGTTCCCCGGCGTCGTCTTCCGCCACTACCAGCACTACTCCGACCCCGGCGACCTCTACCAGACCCTGAAGTCCAACGTCGACGCGCTCAAGCTGATCCAGGTGGGGATCACCCTCTCCGACGCCGCCGGGAACCTCCCAGATCTCGGCTGCCCCGAACGCCGCTTCATATGGGAGTTCAATTTCCGCGACTTCGACATCTCGAGCGACGACCACGCGCCAAATTCCATCGACCTCCTCCGCAACCAGGGCGTTGATTTTGAGCACACCCGCAAGTTCGGTGTGTCTGCCGCCAGGTTCGCCGAGCTCATGGTGTCCTCCGGCCTTGTCTGCAACGATGACGTCACCTACATTACCTTTCACAGTGGCTACGACTTTGGGTACCTCATCAAGGCCATCACGGGGAAGGCTCTCCCTGGAAGCCTCAAGGATTTTCTGAACCTGCTGAGGGTATTCTTTGGGGACCGTGTTTATGATGTTAAGCACCTGATGAAGTTCTGTCAGGGGCTGCATGGGGGATTGGACCGGGTGGCGAGGTCTCTTACTGTGCAGCGTGCTGCTGGGAAGTGCCACCAGGCGGGGTCTGATAGCCTGCTGACCTGGCACGCGTTTGAGAAAATTAGGGATGTGTACTTCAGCAATGGTGAGAGGAAGGCTTTACTCGACCAGTATGCTGGCGTTCTGTATGGGTTAGAGATTCATGACCCGTGATTAGCTTCGGTGCTGTAGATGTGCAGAAGCCTGTGGTAAAAGTGTTTGGTTTTCCATTGGCTTTGTTTCTATCATGTTCTCTATACAATCTATTTCGCATAATATCAAAAGCCAATATCCAGTTTAAATATATTCGTCTCTGATTTTAATTTTTATCTATGAATGTGTCGGTTTTTATATTGCCTGATACACACACACACACACACACTGGTGAGAATTGTTGTTGAATGCTCATGTTTGCTGAAAATATTTGACATTTCAGACGTAATCTGAAATTCATAGGAAACGGGGCATGAATGTTGTTAGAATTGCAGGATCGTGTGAGGAATACGTTGGGTTATTTTGATGGTGGGTTTTGTGCCAAAGTGATGTTGAAGAGTGTAATTTAATTTGTAGGATAAGAAAGTTGTGTTTTTTTTTT